TACATTAAAATCAGCAAAAGCAGCTATTAGTTATTATATAAATTATAATTTTTCAATTATGAATAAAGTTTCTTAAATTATGTTATTTAAATTAAATTGAAGAATTTAGATTTTCATAAGTGCCTTCGTTCGGTCCGAGTGCTGTGTCTAGAGTGTTGGGAATATTGAGGTTGTTGAGTTCATCTGTGTACTGGAAACATTCTGTAAAAATATGGTTGATTGATAGTTCGGTTGTTCGGTACCACAAGTAGTACACATTAGTTATTATTCAATTACCATGAGGTACCCATGTGTTCGATGCGGGGTCTATTTATTATTGTTTTTTCTCGTCTATTTGTAAGGGAGTTTGGTCAACCGATGATGAAATTTTAAATTTTTCTTAATTTGACGTTTTGTTTGAGCCTTTGTGTTTGTCATTTGATTTGGATGAGTTCTTTAATTTGTTTTTTTATATCTGCAAAATTAGCTATATTTAATTTGTTCGCCTTCTATGTTAGGTATCGTTAATAATAATAATTCTTGTTTTATTTGGTTGGCTTAGTTTTTATGTATAAGCATAAGCTTCGCTATATCTATGGTGATATAAGTATTTTTTAGGCTAATGAGTGTGGAAAGTGAGCTTGAATAAACTATATTGATTTYATAGATGTTTCCATGRTCATGGTCATGTGTATATATTATGTGTTTTACTGTCTTAAGGATTGTTATTACTTTAGCCATGTAATTGAAACAACTTCCTGGGAGTTTAAACTGGCAACGAATTTTTCGTTGATAATTGTTATTCCCACGACTTTTTCTGTTTGGAGGCGTCAGTGAAGTATTAATTTTATGTTCCTGTAGTAATTTGTTTAAATGATTTTTATAAAGCATTAGGAGAGTGCGCTTTTTTAAAATTTTGTTAGTACCAGATTTATATCGAAGTTAGAATTCGATGGGGAGGAACTGTGGGGTTGAACTATTATTATCAAAGTTAATAAATTCTAATAATATCCAGCATACTTCGTAGTCTTGTCTATGCATTTATTTGCTGGGTTATTAGAGTTTCTGGTAATGCTTACTGCGAAGAGTATAGAGATTTTTCTATGTGACTTAACTCGTAATGATATTCAAGTGCTAGATTTCGAATGCTTTCGGTGGGGCTAGATAGTATTATAATTATAATTACTATATAATTATACCCTCCAATAGCGAGTTTTAATCTAGTGTTAATAGAATTTATTACAACTATATATTATTATATTCAACGAAATTAAATCAATTGGGTATTTAATTTTAATCATATCATGCAAAATTACATGTTTATTCGTTTACTTGTTGGGCATTTTAAATTTAATTAACTATAGTAATAATAATTTAAATTTGTATACACAAAATTGATCAAAAAAAAAAAAAGCGGGATAGTGGATATCGCTCTTCTGTACAATAGGTTACAAGTGGGTTACTGTAATGGATATAATTAAATTTGAAAGATATAGATAGATATATTTCAAAGATATTATATTATTATATCATTGTATACGAAAAACGATTCTGAGCGGAGACGGTTTATCTGTCTAGGATATATTATAGATTAT